AAGTCAATTTAAAACAGTTATTTAATAGGCCAGGCATGGTGGCTCATGCCTATAATCCCAGCACTTTGGGAGGCCAAGATAAAAGGATTGCCTGAGCCCACATGCTCAAGACTAGCCTGGGCAATTTGGCGAGACCTCATCTCTACAATAAATCAAAAAATTAGCTGGGCATGGTGGTGCATACCTGTAGTTCCAGCTACTTGGAAGGCTGAGGTGGAAGGATCACCTGAACTCTGCAGGTAAAGGCTGCAGTGGCCATGAGCATGCCCCTGCACTCCAGCCTGGGCAACAGAGTGAGACTCCGACTCAAAAAAAAAAAAAAAAAAAATGGCCATTTAAGTTCAAGGGGTTCAGATTTGAGATTTAATTTGAATAAACATGAAGATATGACCTAAGGAGACCTTTCTGAGGGCCTCCTGGATTCACCGTTTTGAGGTGAAATCTTTGAGACCTAAATGATTGGTTTGTTAGTTCACACCTATTGTTTCTCCTAAGAATGTCTTTAGTCCTTTCTTCCAGAGAGGAAGGGCCTTGAAGCTTCCTTAGGAAAGAGCAGGGAACTGTAAGATGGGATAGATTAGGTAAACTATATCCTTAGGAAGAAAAATAATCTTCTTGAATCAGCTGGAAATAGTGTAAGAAGGCACCATGACAATGAGAACGATGCAAACATGGGGACTCCATCTTTGTTGTGTTGACATATTTATTTGTAGAGGGATTGGCAATACATTTTTTAAGTCTGTGAGCTAATTTTTCAGGAAAATCAGAAAAATTGGGAAACTGGGGCGATGCTTTTTACTCTTCAGCTTGCCTTGGCGAATAAAAACCCAAAGAAATGTTTTATTAGCAGCTCTATATAAAATAGGAAAAAAGGTTGGATCTTTGGGAGCAAAATGGTTCAAAAGTGTCCCAAGAAGCTGCCCGGGGATTAAAGAGTGACCCTGGAAACTTAGCTGAAAACACTCTAGTTTTTCCAAATCAAGTATCCAAGAAAGAATATTGAACTGAATTGTCTTGAACTTCCTAGTTTGAAAACTGGAATGTGATGTGAAAATTTTTTTTCTTACACTTTTTTTTTTTTTGGCAACATTGCTTCTGTCATGGCCAAAGACCAAGCAAAAAAGTCCATGAAAATGTTCATCATACCAAAGAAGTTGTTGGCTGTTTCCAAAGAACTTTAAGGAAAGTGTAGATAGATATCTACTCATGAAGCTTTAGGTATTCATGTATTTAGGATAGTTTAGACCCTTTCTAAATTCTAAACACTAAAAAGAAAAGGACTAGAAGTTAAGGAGATTCTATAACATGGTGTGATTTTAAAAATGGATAATCAAGATATCACTACAATAAAGAGGATAGTAAAAAAACTGAGTAGTTCCATCAAAAAATCTTTTCATACCATTTCTAAATCAGACTGCCAATATCATTTTTTGAAATATTAAAAACTATAGCTATCTGATTTTTTAACCAGTCAATAGTTGAGTGAGGTGTGGGAGAGGTGGAGAATGCAGTGATATGAGCTGGGGTATTTGGGACATAGTATCCTAAGTGGAAATAGAAAAATGAACAAGGCAAAGTTTTTCACTGAACAATTATTTTTTCCTGAAGACCATGCCTTCTAGCTGCTTGCAATCTCCCTGATCAGGCTCCTAAAAATAGAGACTTTTCATTAATTTTAGTCTCGCTCATTTCATCTTTACTCTGACCTTGGGTCACCTCCATCCAATGTTCATCTTCCCTATCCCTGCTTCAGTGCTTCTCAGTATTGGTACTAGATCTTAAAACCCTGCTGATCATGTCTTCTGTACAATCAAGCTGTTTCAGCTCCGGCGAGCTCTCTTTTTCCCCAATATATATATATTTTTTATTGCTTGCTGGCTTTTACAAATTTTCCCAGTGGCTCTTCTGAACCTTCATGCTTGCTTTCTGATGTCCAACTCACCTCCTTTACTTTTAGCAAATGACTTGGACAATTTTCCAACAGAGACTATTGCCCCTGTATCTTATGAGCAGCTTCCACTTTTCTTCACAAAGCTTTCCATATCCTCATCTTTCTTCCTGCAATTTGCTCTGTCTTCTAAGAATGAATTAGGTATCCATTTCCTTTATCAAGATTATTCTTCTTCTTGTCACCTACTGTCTACCCTGGGACTTTTGGCATCAAGTACACACTTACCTCCGCACAGCATCCATTTCTCCTCTGGCAACTCATCTCTCAGTGGTTTCTCATTTTAAACAAACACACACCAAAAAACCTTTTTATGATTCCACAAATGATTAATTTTCTCTGTTAAACACTACATAAGAATAGCAGCACCCATCCATGCCATTTCCTCGTTAATACACTTCTTTTCTTCCTCCAATACTGCTTTTGTTCTCACAAGCTATAGAAACTACTCTTCCAACAAACATGTAGACTTCGCAGCAACTTGGATGGATTTAGAGTCTATTATACTCAATAATCTATCACAGAAACAAAGAACAGAGTACCACATGTTCTCACTCATAAGCGGACCCTGAACACTTACCATCATACTCTAAGAAAGGGATTGGCAGTGGCAGGATACTGCCGGGTTGGGGGTGTGGGGACACAACATCAATAAGGGTACCTGATCTCAAACCAGGCCAAGTGGGGACCAAAGGAAGGTCCAAACTTTACCTGTACGATGTCCGCTTGTACACCTAATCCTGAATTGTACCACATGTCTTAAATAAAATGAAACCCTTCTGTTGGCCTTCTCTCAGTCTTCAACCTCTTGGCAACATGCATCCTGTTAAACATCTTCTAGGAATTCTCTCACCTCTTCTTCTGTCTCTCATATGGTCCCTTTTGTAGCTTCTCTCTCTCTGTTTTTTTTCTCTCTGAATTCAGACATTCAACAAAGTTCCAAAGTTCCCTTCTCTCATCATTCTATACTCTCCACCTAACAAACTGCTTCTAAATCCTCAAACTTTGTGTTTCCTATTTTGTGTATCCATGACTTCAGCCCTGACCTTTTTCCCAGACCCAAACTCCCACTGCCTAGTTGAATGTATCAATTATAAGTCCTGCCTGCATACCAAACTCAATAATATCCCCAAGTCAAGCTTATCATTTTTCTCTCCCCAAACTCCTCCCAACTTTATTATTTCTGATAATGGCATTTACCATAGTTTCAGAATCCTGGATACTCATTTTGCATTCAACAAGTATCTACCGTGTGCTTAATATGTGATAGTAAACAGTTCTAGACACAAGGAGTTAATAAGATGAATGGGCTCTTGCCCTCATGGAGTTTACATTTTACAGTGGGGAAATGGAAATAAGCAAGTAAGCAAATAAGATAAATTTTGGAGAGAGAAGTGCTGTAAAGAAAGTAAAATGTGAATGACTATTGTGAGGGACAGGGTTGGGCTGTAGGACAAGTATATTAGACACAGGCGGCAAGGAAGCTACTTTGAAAATATCAGTCACGATATTTTCTTCCTCATTCGTTTCCTGTTCCAATGCAACCCTCAACTACAACATCACACTTTCGCTGCAGAACCTCCAGTGACTCCATTTATTCACTGAACTAATATAAACTTGGAAGCCCAACATGCAAATCTCTTTAGGGTGTGATCTCAAACATTTCAATCCTTTAATACCGCGGTGTTCGGGTCTATTGAAATTAGCGCCCAGAACACATCTTCAACATTCCTGTCTGCAAAGTTGCCCATCATGTCCTCTTCATAACTTGGACTGATTACCATTTCACATCCAGTACAGGCCAGCCATAGTCCTCCGAGCCCTATCTCAAATCACTTTGTCCTTTAAGATCCTTCAGTTTTCCATTTTAACCCACAAAAAAACTTTCTTTCTTATAGCATTTGTCATATTTTGCCCTAGCATGTGGTGTCATGCACACACTGCTCTTCTATCTAGCCCTTACTATATTACACATATTTAAAGATAGGGGCCAGCCGGGCTTGGTGGCTCAGCCTGTAATCCCAGCACTTTGGGAGGCCAAGGCGAGTGCACTGCCTGAGCCCACAGGTTCGAGACCAGCCCAGGCCACTTGGCAAGACCTCGTCTCTATAATAAAATAAAAAATAGCCGGGTGTGGTAGCGTGCGTCTGTAGTTCCAACTATTTGGAAGACTGAGGCGGAAGGATCGCTGGAGCCCAGCAAGTCAACGCTAGGGTGGCCATGAGCGTGCATGCCACTGCACTCCAGCCTGGGCAAAGCAGTGAGACTCCAACTCAAAAAAAAAAAAAGAAAAAAGAAAAAAGAAAAAAAGACAGGGGCCACATATCTTTGTCCTTGTACTAGTATAGTGCCTCACACAGAATTGGCCCTGCATAATGTTTGTTGAGTGAATGAACAAGTTTGTCAAATCTACGTTTGATTCACTAATGTTTATTTCATAGTATCCCACGTGGTTTATCTTTGGTTGTTCCTCTTACCCAATCTCATGAGAACTACATGTGAAAAGGTAGAAAGCAGAGAGGAAATGCAGAAGAGTCCTTGCTTTGAAACAGTCTAGTTACTTTCAAGCTGTTCAAATCATGAAAAGTTTATAGAGGAACATTAAAAATACCATTTTAATCCATTTTTAAAAATCCATTATAATCAGAGTAGTATAAAAATAACTCTTAGTAAGATACTGATTGATTTCCTTAGCATTATTCAGTGCTAAAAATAGACATTATCTGCGGTGCTTTAAGCCTGTAATCCCAGCACTTTGGGAGGCCAAGGTGAGAGGATTGCCTAAGCCAGGGGTTTGAGGCCAGCCTGGCCAACATGGCGAGACCTTGTCTCTGTAATAAATTAAAAAATAAGCCGGGCATGGTATTGTGCACCTGTGGTTCCAGCTGCTTGGAAGGTTGAGGCGGAGGAATCACCTGAGCCCAGCAGGTCGAGGTTGTGGTGGCTATGAGAATGTCAGTGCACTCCAGCCTCGGCGATAAAGTGAGACTCCAACTCAAAAAACACAAAACAAAAAAAACACATGATCACAATTACAGAACCTCATACTTACCACATTACTGCATGTTCTATAGCGAATGTTTCTCCCTTCACAGCTCCTAGGTCACAAAAATGAAAAAAAGAAACTCATTATGAGAGGCTCAACATTTGAAATTTTTTAATAAAAGTAATTTTATTTTAATATTAGTGAGAGGGTTTCTCTTTTCTTCTAAGTATGTTCTTAAGCAAGTTGCTATTAAAAACTAAATTGTGTTGATCTATAGACGTTATATATGTAAATTGCTTTCTCTATCAACATTAAAACTAACTCTTCATCTTGCTTCCAAGAAGTTTTCAGAATGCCTACTTAGTATATATTTAACTAGATAAAGGTTTTCTGAAAATATATTTACAAATGAAACCTGTCTTAATTATTTCTGAGATAAAAGTGAAGAGATATTTTACTGAAAAACTTAGGTCTTGAATATAATAAAAACTGGACTTACTATTGATATCTTACAAATCATACTTCTAAGGACATGAAAAGTCATAATTCTTAAAAAATTATTTTTATTTCTAAATTGCATGTAGAGGCTTTGCAGTTGTCTCATCTAAAGATAATTACTATCATTTAATTTACTTATCCCTTCCCAGCCTGAAGGAAATCACATCACGTATACAATTTTGTAACCTGTGTTTTTTCCATTGAAAAGTTTTTGGGCCAGGCTTGGTGGCTCAGCCTGTCATCCCAGCACTTTGGGAAGCCGAGGTGAGTGGATTGCCTGAGTCCGCGGGTTCAAGAGCCACCCAGGTAACTTGGCGAGACCTCATCTCTACAATACATCAAAAAATTGGCTAGGCGTGGTAGTGTGTGCCTGTAGTTCGGGCACCTTGGAAGGCTGAGACAGAAGGATCACCAGAGCCCAGCAGGTCGAGGCTGCGGTGGCTGGGAGCGTGCCACTGCACTCCAGTCTGGGTGACAGAGTGAGACTCCAACTCAAAAAAAAAAAGAAAGAAAGGAAACAAAAGTTTTTGAAGATATTTTCTCATATTATGAAGGCACTTTAAAGACACCATTTTGAGAGCTAAATAATATTCCATCAAATTACATAATAATTTGCATAATCACTCCTCCATTGCTTGTCATATATGTCATTTTCAATTTGGGTTTTTGATAAATGGTGCTATGTTAAACCATCTCCATGCATATGTTTTATCCAAGTTTCTGACTGTGACTTTAGAATAGGTAAATCTCTAGAAGGAGAATTACTGGACTAAATGGAATTAACTTTTATAAGGCTCTTACAAAATGCATTCCACAGAAGTTGTGCCATTACATACTTCCACCAGCATTATATGAGAGCTTCCATTTTACTGAATTCTTATGAACAAAAACAATCACATTTTGATAAAACATTGTTGACACTTGACTTCAATCAATTGACATCGATTTAGGTGATGATGCTCAACTCATGAACAGCGATACTCCTCTTTTCAAAATAAGTCACACTTGAAGTCAAAATATACTATGGATTTCTGAAAGAATGATTACACTAATAGCTTTAGAATTCCAGGTACATGTCTAAGTCTGTTATATGTATTAATTTATTTGATCTTCTAAAAATCCCTGAGAGATAGGATACCATCATTGTATCCATTTTACAGATGAGAAAACTGAAACTTAGGAAGGTTACATAACTTGCCAAAATCACACAACTAGTAAATTGAAGAGCTGAAATTTGAAACCAGAATATCTGGCTTCAGAGATCACATCCTTAATCACAATGCTTGAACGCCTCTAATTTACTTTTTGTTCACTAAACGTCCATAAAACTTCTGTCATATGCTGGGCAATGAAATTACTATGAAGAGTACAAAGAAGAAAGAATGTGACTTGGTATTTGTTATTAAGAAAATTAAATATATAATTATAATTCAGTGTAAGAAATGCTACATAGCATTTGTGTTAGGTCTTGGAAATGTTAACAGAAAGGCAATGCCATCTGAAAACATAGTTATATAAAGTCTATCTTAAAAAGACAGAAAGGGCCTAAAAACTTGACTGTAACCAGATTGACTGTATCACTATCTATTAAAAATAGAAAAGGAAAACCTGGTCAGGCTTTGGAATCATAGAAACAAGAAGCATGACTAAAGGCACATGTTTGTCAGTGTCCAGCCCAACAATGTCCTGGACAACGGGCCAATGAAATTCAAGTCCTTCATGTCCCATTGGCAAGACTGCTGCAATCTCCACATAGATGACTCACGCCAACCTAGCTGATGCCAACGAACGTTCAGCTTATCCAAGGAACACCCCTCACTACGATGCCATGTTGACCAAGCTACTTGCCAAGAGTGAGCTGGATTTTCACGATTGCTGAGAGTCTGAGAGTGCTGGGCTTGCTGGCATGCGTATTCCAGTCTACGTGACAGACAGTTCTATTCCTCATTGTAAATTAATCAACTGGCATTCTAGTTTGAAATTTTTTATCTCATGGGTCAAGTCATTATGAGTCCAAGCCCAAGAGAAGGATGAGTTCTTGGTGCTGTGCCTAAAACTATCAGGTTTCTGACTCTAGAACGTTGAGAGTTAGGCTCCAGATGATGGTACATTTACAAAGTAATGAATTCTACAACTGGGAGGCCTTTCGTAGCACGCCATCTAGACATTGGTGTTTTGCTGAATGTGATCTGTTTTTCAATTTTGAAATTCCTGTTCTATACAGACCACATTGTAGTGGTTAAGAGTACCCACATTGAAACCAGACTGCTTTCTGGAATCTTAACTCTATAGCTCAGTTTCGTCATCTATAAAATGGGATAATATTACTAATTTCCTGGAAATCTGAGGATTAACTGAGTTAATATTTGTGAATTGCTTCAAATAGTGCCTAGTACATAGTAAATATTATGTAGGCATTTGATAAATTAATTAAGTGTGTAATAGATATAAAATTATAATAGTTATTAAAAGGAGGTCAAGTATAGATTTGGTATGTTTGCAAAGTTTCAAACAGCTCTGGTTTTTGGGAATTCAGGGTTTATGTGGGGAATCGGACTAGAAGTACCTTCTAATTTTAAACTTTGTAACAAGCAAAGGGGAACCACCAGAGGTTTAAAAACAGAGGAGATTCAATGATGAGTTTTTCTTTAAAATCCAAACCCTGGTGTTAATCCTTGAGACCTTAATGCTCTAAGCTTTTCACTCCCCCTTTTTTTCCTTTTTCCTAACCTTATGTCTGTGAACAGAACAATGAAATCAATTCTGAATTAGGAATTGGAAGGTCTGGGTTGTAGATTTGTTCTTCTTCTACTTGCATTAGCCTCTTGCCCTCTCAGAGTCTTAGTCTCCTCATCTGTCAATTGAATATAGGAATGTCGGTACACAGAGTTACAATCCCCAACAGAGATAATGTACAAAAAGCTCTATTCAAACACCAAGAGGTTATTACAGAGATATTGCTTACTAACCAAAACAAAGCAGAAAAATACTTGCTTCAGTAATTTAAATGAGCCTTTCCCCAGGTATTTTAAACTATAAATACTTATATAAGCATCCTTGGATAAGAGGAGCTATACCCTGAACATTTACCATAATATTATAAGAAAGGGATTGGCAGTAGCCAGAAACTGCCAGGGCAGTGGGGGGAGGGGATGACACATAATATCAATAAGGGTACCTGATCTCAAACCAGGCAAAGTGGGGACCAATGGGAGATCCACACTTTACCTGTATGATGACTGCTTGTATACCTAATCTTGAATTACACCCAGCATCTTTAAAATAGAAATTTAAAAAATCACATTATTTAGGAAAAGCAAAACAAAGCAAAGGAAAAAAAAAACATTTGTCATAACTTCTGAAGAACAGCTTGCCATTGTCTCACACTTAATATCTATTTACAAATAATTTATTTGTGCCTCTGAACTAGCGACCCTTTACTATACTGCTTTTTTAAATTGAGAGTCTGTCTAATTTGACTTAAATATGATCTTTAAGTGGTCATGCGCAAATGTGGCAAAGTGATCATTATTGAAAGATGCTGTCAAATTGTGAACAACAATAGAAATACAAATCTCTACTATATATTCCGTGCCTGCTATAGGCACCTGGTCTCATGTTAGGTATTCTATACATATTATCTCACATCTTCCCACAACCCAGCAAAAGTTTTATTATTCTTATTTAGTAGATGAGAAAATGGAGGTTGGAGAAAGCTGAGGAAGCTTAAAACTACGTACACAGACAAGAGAGGACTGGAGATTGAAATCCTGATCTGACAAACTCCTAAGAATATCAAACAATAAGAAAAGGAATAGGATGCACTCAAGATGTGTAGTATACTAACGCTAGACTAAAAATCTGGAAGCTGAGCCAGGGGTTGGCCTGGAGTTAACTGTACTTTACTGTTACTATTTCAATTTATCAGCTACGTCTCAATTCTGGTAAATCTGCTTCTAGAAAAGCATACCTAGAGACATACTGGAACATCTCCAGGAAAACCCCACTCATCAGTAAAATGTAATGTGAAAGAACGTCAGTGCAGGGAAGCTTATAATTTTAAAAAGACTAAATTTATTAAATTTGAATATAAATTTTACATAAGTAGCAAAGTGACTATTTCGCCACAAGAATTTCATTCCTGCCAAGTGTGAATGTCTTCATCCAAGGCATTTATCTGGGCATACGATCCTCATCTGAGAATTAAGTAGTAAAAAATATTTTCTTTCTTTCTTTTTTTTTAAACAGGTCGTTAATATAAAACAGCTGAGTGGTTTCTTTCACATTTAAACAAAGTGAAATTCACCTCTGGGGCTGAAAACAAATATTAGAGATGTCAGTCCAAAATGATGTCTGAAGAAAGTTATAGACAATTGCTGATAACAGAGGATTTAAGTAATGTTCCCCCTCAGCGCAAACTATAAAAATAGTTACAAGACTGTGCTTAGCGAGTTAAGAACTAGGACCAACTATGGACTCAGAAACTGGCTCAAGTATGAAAGAACAAAATATAAATATTAAAATATATTCCAACCCAAATTTGTATAGAAAGTTCCCCGTTTGTTTATTTCAACGCTTTACTCCTGGCCAGTCACTTATTAATTTTTACTTAAT